CACAGCTCAAAGGCATCAATTCTCCTTCTGTCCTCCCTAGTCATTGTCCAACTCTCTGATGCATAACAAGTGATTGCAAAGACCATGGCCTGTATCAGGAGCACCTTGGTCTCCAGAGAGACAGCTCTTGAGTACTTTAGAGAGGTCCCTAACAGCAGACAATCACAAGGGAGTAGAAAACAAAAACAAAGGATTATAGCGAAGTCTTTTGTAGATAAGGAGTTCTTCTCTATTGTTTACTTTATGCTAATCTCAGGAGCGAGGGATTCAGTATACAAACTAAGAAATGATGTTGACTCTTAAGGAATGCCTTAGTACCAGGATGAACTCCAGCTTGTATTTCGCCTCCCTTAAATCCTGATATAGCATTTGGTTTATTTAATATTAAATTTTATATTCGGCTCCCCACAACTGCTGCCCCACAGAGCCAGGGGGCCTTCGACTAAGTTGCTGGAGGGCTAGGGAAGATGCTTTAACTGGCAGGACTAAGAAAGCTTTGTAACATAGCAGGCCACAAGTTAAACGACCTGCAAGCAAACTTGAAAAGCTATACTGACCAAGAAATCTTATCCTGTTGTCAACCTGAATTATAATCCATCAATTTTCCTGAATACACCCTTAACTGTATTCTTCCAAGTATGGCCACTGCAACGGACTTCAAACCTAGGAGTAGAGCAGTAAAATTGGAAGTGAGAACACAAATGCCATATCTGATCTTACGGGAATTGCATGGTGGATGTTGCTGATGGGAACTGTTCTCCCCTTTTTGAAGTTAACAGGTGTGATGCAGTCGCCACCACACACTTGTTGTTAGTTACCACTGAGTCGAGTAAAACTCATAGCAGTCTTATGAACTAAAGATCTGAACCTAGTCATGTCCTGTTCCATCCTCATACTTCCTGACACACAAAAGCCCATTGCAGGAGTCACCTTGTCAGTCCACCTGGATGATGATCCTCCTCGCCTTCGCTGACCCCCCCCTTCCCAATATCATGTCCCTCTCGTATGTCAGGCGAAGCCTCATCATTCTTGCCTCCAAAGAGCACTCTATTTGTACCCTCTCCAAGACATATCTATTCATTCTACTTACTCTCTTTTTACAGGTACTTAGTTTATGTGTAGTAAGTCAACAGACATAAAAAATTTTCAGAACAAAGCATATTTCTAAAGTGATAGAAACTTATTTCTTGTTGAGTCAAAATTGATCCACTGCTAAACCTCTAATATGTTCCTGAGGTTGTAAAGATCAAAGGAGAGGAGATGTCCATCTTTTTTCTGAGGAGTGGCTCTGGATATTTCAACTGCCAAAGAGATGTAGATGTTGTGTTAGGATGGCAATTACTTATGGACTATGCCAGATCTCCCAAGGATTCATTTCTTGTTGTGATGTGTCATCAAGTTATAACCAATTTAAAACTGATCCTCAAGTGGGTTTTCAGAAGCTGTAAATTTCATGAGAGGAGAAACCTCATCTTTCTCCTATAGAGCAGCTGCTGGATTTGAATCATCTGCCTTTGGGTTGCAACTCCTTACCCATGATGCTAGTAGAGCTCCAAAGCATTACTAAAAGTTGTTGTTATTTGACCCAGCAATTCCACTACTGGGAATATACCCTGAAGAGACCACAGCTGACATCCAAGCAGATATATGCACACCCATGTTACTGCAGCTTTGTTCACAATTATCAAGGAGTTGGAAACAACCTAAGTGTCCATCAACAAACGAATGGATAGAGAAGCTGTGGTATATTCGCACAGTGGAATACTATGCTGCATTGAAAAACAAGGAACTCATGCAATATTATTCAAAATGGTTGACTCTAGAGAACATTATGCTGAGTGAAATATCCCAGTCACAAAAGGACAAATATT